TCAGCACCCTTTTAAGTATTGTAATCTGAATGCTGGACAGAAGTCGAACATACTTGCATGCAGACAATTTAAAATACAACTTTTTTGTGTTTTTATTTTCTTAATTCCAAAGATTATTTGCACAGTCGCATTAAAACTAATGTTATTTTGAAGTTATGAATACAAAAAAAAAAAAAAAATCATTTGGAATTGCATGGCTATTAAAACGGAAACTAACTTACTTAAAATGTATACTACAATTTTATAAGGCTGTAATTGAACGTCTTTTTTTTTTTTTTTTTTCAGAAAAAGGTTTAAGCATGCAATTTTTATTCCTGTTATTTACGTTTAAAAAATATATACAATAAATAAAAAAGTTACAAAAACAAAATTCCTGAGAAAATATGTCTTGCCTGTATTTTTAAAATGTACGAATAGATTATTTTTTTGCTTACCGACCTACTAAAAACTTTACAAATCAGAAACACAATAATATGTATGCTGCTTATTACGGCGGTAACATTTTTTGTAAAGTAACGGTTATTAGATAATTAAAGGAGTCGTCAACTTTAGTGTTCCTTTTTATGGTGTATAATGAAAGTGTCAAAACTTTATAAGCCAAATATTTCTAACGCTTTTGTAAACATTTTTATATAATAGTTCCCATGTCGGAGAAATACTGGATGGTAGCTTACATGCGTAAGCGCATAATACGACCACAAATGCTAAATCCTTTAATATTTGTTTTCCAAAAAAAAAAACCAATTGATATACATTTTAAATATGGAAGTCATAACGATAATTCGTAATTTAAAAAATATAATTTTAATTATAATCTTTATATTTTCAAGAACACCGACTATTTTAATTAAGGGCTCAAACTGAACTCTTTAATGTATTCTGGATTGATTGATGTTCAAGCATCGGTCTAGAGCTTTTCGAATATGGACTTTGGATTTTAGAGTTTAAAGAGCGCTTTGGAGTTACTGACTTTGATTGTCTTGGCATTTCTCTTGGATTCGACTGCATTCGCTGTTAGATTCTTACGATATTGTTTATTGAAATCTAAAACATCTGATTTCGAGTTTGCGGGTCCGAACATTAAGCGTGGGGACGAGACAATTGTGTGAGGGCCTTTGCAAGAAATTTTCAGCTTAGGTAATAGATCTTTAGTCTACAGGTGGCTGACGTGTCTAGAGTTTTCTGTTACATCCTGTGTACGACTTACTGTTTATTCCATCAACCCTGTCTTAAGGATTCATATGACATATGACATATCCCATATAATTTGGAATACAGTGTAGTGCTTTACGTGAGAGTTTATTATCTCTTTTATTTGTAAATGGTCTATTGGTCTAGTCTTATAACATTATGTGTGATATAAATCGTTTGCATAAGATCTGCTAGATTGTTTGAAATTAGGAATTCATCAATTTTAACTGTACAATTTTAAATCCTTGAATAATAACTGTTTCTGGTAGATTCCAGGTAATCAGTATACTCGGTTCTATATAATTGATTTGAAAATTTGTATGGGTTCTAGTGTACTTACACTGAGTCAGCTCCTGTTTGATTAATGCAACTATAAACTTGTTAAATATTACTTTCTCTGTATCCTTATGGTATACTTGATTATTAAAAATATAAAACTTATCAAATATTTGTTGACCATGCAACCATGATTATTTGGGGAAGGAACTACTTGAAATATCGGAGATTTTTGGACTTCGCTTGGAATATGTGAATTAATTAAAATTTCTTTCGTATCTGTTTTAAGCCAAGTTGAAGTTTTTATATTTAACATTTTCTCCGAGTTTACGTGTTTTAATGATTGCGGGTTAAAGATCCCCCGCCTAGTTAATTGCATACCAAATTCGATAGCCCCTATATATTCTGTGAACTGTTGTAAATTAAATATCAAAATCGCGATCTGTTGGATGTTTTTTTTCTCTACTCTTACTCTTGATTACGTCCATAACCATATTTGAGTCATGGGTTTTAACGGAATATTCTGAAAGGTATTAATTTTTTCTTCTAGCTCATCCCTATCGTCTTGATCTAGGGTGCCAAATAAATACTTATATGCCTACGTTTAAAAGACCTCTTTTACTTCGTTTAATCAGCCATTAATTTAATCAAGCCATTAATTTCCCATTTTAGCTTCTCAACCAAATATTTAATTTGGAGCACATTGGGAAAATCGTTTACTTCTTCTAATAGATATTCAAACATTAGCATTGTCCTTGTTATATTTGTACTTCAATAATTATATTCATAGCTTATCGGAATTTCCATTGTTCATGCTTGGCACATACAAATACACATAAGTAATATGGGAAGTATGTGACATCGCATAGCTTTCTTCAGGTGGTCTGGAACTATCGTATTTACTAGTATTAATTTTCTTGTTTTTCAAATTTTGACTCCGTAATGTTTTCTTGAATGGTTTTGCTTTTTACAAGTGGGGTTTGTCTATATTTCGTTTCAATTGCAAAATCATGTCTCTTCTTCTCATTGGGTTTGTGGATTTTGTCAATATTATTTTGTTGGCCATTAATGTCTGGGTTTACTGCATACAAAAGGATATCTGCCGGAGATCTTTTAGTAGTGTTGTGCTTAGATTTGTGATTATAGACATTAAGGATTGTTTCATCTTGTACAGCTTGTACATCTATCTTTTATATTTTTTGTTCATTACCAATGATTCTTGATTTCTCGTTTAGGGTCTTATGGAACCTCTCTATATCGGACACCCCGTTTTTACTTGTAGTGACGGATATGTTCACGCCCTCAGATCTTAACCTATTCTGCAGAGCTATGTACATGAATGCAGAATCTTTATCCGCTTTCATCGCCTGTGGTTTTCCCGTGTCATTAAATATTTTCGTTATAGCCCTCTTTGCCTCTAACCAATCTCTAACAATCTATTTTCGGTACATCTTATGCAATCTGGAAAATCAGAATATCTTCGTCATTAGGGCACAAGTTCTTAGTGCACAAGTATTCCTTAATGAATTCAGCTTTAATTTCTTTGTAAATTATTTTGATATTCAACTTCTGAAAATAATGAAATTGGTTGTATCGCTGTTTCCCAAGTTGTGTATAGAACAAATTAAGTGGTCTTTCAGTTATAGATATGTAATTTAGATTATCTTCGTTCGACTATAGAATGTTGCGTTCGCCCTATCTGCAACTTCACCAAGCATGACTTCTTCAATTTTTGTGCTGAAGGGCACCCGCTACATGATTTTCTTTAATTTAGTAATCAAATTCGTTCAATTTTATATTCTTTAATATTATTACGCCCTACCAAAGGGTTGTGATCACTCAGTATTTCAACGTAATAAATACAATTGGTATCAATTACTGAACCTTTCTTTAGTTTAAGGGTCATAGGCTTTACTACCAAAATGATTTCATTTGCCTTAGGTAATTCGTAATTGCATTAGTTGTATTTGAATTGGGTTTGATTCCATTTTTGGTTACAATGTGTCCCAGGAATTCAGTTTCCTTCTTCATGAACTCACATTTGTATGTTTGTAATTTTAAATTAGCATACCTGAGTTTCCCAAAGACTTTCCTTAGAGACAAAATGTGTTCCTCCAATGAAGTAGAGTGAATTATAATGTCATCCAAGTATACTAAGCAATCTTTGTAAATTTAATCTTTCAAAAGATTGTTCATACATTTCTGAAATGTTGCAGGGGCATTTTTCAGACCAAAGGGCATGAGTGTATATTCGTAGTGTCCATGTTTGGTTGAAAAAGATGTTATCGCAATGGAATTTTTATACATTTGGATTTGGTGAAAACCCTTAGCTAGATCAATCGTTGTAAAGTAATGGCATCGTCCGAGTTTATCCATTATTTCATCCATTCTAGGAATGGGAAATTTATCGTTGACAGTCGTTCACAATCCCATTGAGATTCCTGTAATCCCTTACAAATCTAAACGTTTGCTTCGCAGAGGCGTCTGTCTTCTTGGGGACCAGTCAAATGGGAGAACACTGGGGTACTTCGATTTGCGAATTATACCTTGATGTCATTAATTTGCTTGTTAACCTCCTAATCAACGTTTTGGGGGTATTTATAAGGTTTACGGTAAACTGGATTCTTCATCTTTAAACATTCATCCGTATAACTTTGGTTTAAGGCACTTTGAAGGTGCCGTCTTAACCTTTTGCTGTTTCGGTTCGTATTGCTCCACTGGCGCAGATTCGTACTTTTGTTTTGGGTCAAGGCATTTCGTAGATGCGGTCTTGTCCTTCTTTTCTGCATATCTGAACTTGTAGGTTCTCGAACCAAAAGTTACAGTTTTCTTCTCATAATCAATCTTGGCTTTCGTTTCTTCGAGATATTTTCGACCTATCTGGAAATCATAAGTATCGGAAAATTTATGGACAGAGCGTTTTTGTACAGTCGGACATGTGGGCTTCATCATAATACTTTTTTTTTTAATTTTATTGGCCCTTTTATAGTGTATACTGTCGAATCTTCTTCTTTCTCCAAGCCTGAAAAAGTTCCTTGTATGATGTTGATAGAGGAACCTGTGCCGATCATTCTTATAATAATTATTATGATAGCTTTCTACAACATGGGGACTGATTCGTCTAACTACATTTCTTGTGTGTCTGAGGCAGTCTGATGAAAATTTACGTTCATGCCATTTGCCCACTCTGACTTTCTCGCTGTCTCTTTACCGGTCCATTACCATTCACATTATTTAAGGTTGAAATTGAGGGGATTGTTTTGTTGTTGAAAATTGAGATTGTTTTGTCTACCTTGAGTTAAATCCCTTCTAAAGGTGTAGTAATTTCCCCCCTGATTAACAAGTATAGAACGAGTCGAGTACGAATTTTGCTTAGTCGTAACTTGATTCGGACTTTGGGCTTGCATTATTTGTTACAGGGTAATAATACCACAATTATGATATCTGTTATTAGTAGCTTTGATTATTGCTTTAATTCATATTACCCTTGTTTTTTCGCTTTCGCCCTTCCGATTTATTAAAATACAGGTTTTCGGGATTAGCATCATAGAGACATAACTCCATTAGCTTGTTTTAAAAATAGTATCAATGTCCTTACGCACTAGTGCCATGCATATTCTATCTGGCACTTTTCGATCTATTGTGATTTTTATCGTTCTTCTTAACATTTCTGTACAGTTTGACTTCTCAATAGGATCACTTTCTAATTCAAATTTTTCTATAAGCTTACTAATGCTACCAGGGTATGTTAACTCCTCCAGTTGTCTCACTCACGAATGGTCTGTGGTCCTTGAATGAATGGTCCTTACTGCCAGTGTGGTTTTTATATCCATCCATATTGTTGCTCTCGCTTGGATTGCGACTTCCATTACTGAATCCAAGATCAGACGTCTCACTGCTCCGTATATTACGTGTGCCTGCCGGGCATCTTGGGTGGGGTATAGATTGAGCAGTTGCTCGACCTCGTTGACAAATCCGGACAGCTTGCCAGGTGCGCCGTCGTGGTATTGCAATTCTTTAATCTGAATTAATTAAATATAAAAATCATTAATATATACGCGAAAACAAAAAATTAAAAAAAAAAACCATTTAATAAAACTTGCTTTTTAACATTTCTTAATATTTTCCTTAATCTCTATTACCACCTTTTGATTCGCTTGGCGATATATCCATTTTTTTATTACTATCTTTTTGTGTTTTTGACTTAGGATGCTTTGAGAAAATAAACCTGCAATAAACCTGCAGTCCTTGAATTATCCTGTGTTCCATAAACAAATTATATTGGTCATTTGTCTCTAAAGCAGGGATACCGAGAAATACGGAGTCCTCAAAGTTCGAAAAGTACTGTTTTCTGGTTACCATTTTTTAACGCAAATAGCAGGAGAACGGATTCTCGGCCGCCATTATTCATTATGCATTATCCAAATTCATGAAAATTGTCGTGACCATATTCGTAATTTGCACCCAAATTGTTTAGGTTCTATCACTGTAATTTAATAAACCGAACCTAAGCATCCTTCTGAAGCATTGGACCTACATAGTCGCTAGTGTTAACAAATGGAGGTTTTATCGCCAAATGGACTTTGTGTTAGTACTATAAATCGGCTTACGTAGCCGAAATTGTGTACCAGTTTGATTAAGAATCGATTGATCTAAGTAGATGGATTGGAGATGCATATGTCATTGTATCCAAACACTTTGATTTTACTTCTCTTTAAATGCATTTCTCTGACTGAATCATGAGTCATTTAACTTTACAGAGTATTGATCTTTTATCTGTCCATAACTGGAATAAGATGACGTCACACATGACGTCAAGCTTTCCTAAAAATGGTCTCAGGGATTTCCGATGTTCTATTTTATATTATCTACGAGCCAGACCGAAAAAAAATGAAATTTTGTGTCGTAATTCAGATGTGTAGTAACTTTACTTCACATTAGCGTCCAGAATAATAAAATAATTGAATATATAATTAAAGTGAGCTTATTGACGTTGATAGTTAAAATCACTACTCGCATTGGACATTAAATAAGTTCTGCAGTTTATTTTAAGAAATCAGCTATCAAGTAGTTTACAGAATTGAAAAAAAATAGTTTATTGAATTGATAAACGCAACTAAATTCAGCTGTAATTTAAGTAAGATGGTGGAGATCTTCAGAAGATGTTTACTATCATAACATTGAAGTTATCTTATACAAAACAATATCCGTTGTTATAATTACACATGCTCAATTAGACCTTTCCATAAAATCTATGTTATGTCATTGCTGCCGAGTCCCTGCAGTAAGACCGGGCGACATTTTAATCTTCAATAGCAATAAAGTGATCTTTAAGGCAAAGAGGCGTTTGAGGCCTCCAGCTGCGGCTCTTACGCACTTCTTTTTTTATTTGATCTTATTCACGAAGCCCGAGCTGAGCTTGCACGATCCCTTATACGGGGACCTGGCTGCCTGGGGGGACCTGGCTACTGATTTATTTCACATTTCAGCCTCCTTTGTTGTTAAGACAAAGGAAAAGAAATGGTGTCCTTCTGCTGTTTCTTCACATAGACTCTTCGAGTCCCTTTGCTACCAGCCTGATTGTCTCCCCTCATTTGACCCAGTCGTTCGGAATCTCGACATGACATCTGGATTCTTGTTTCGCTCTGCTCCTCAAGTAGCTTGCCGGACGCGCATCGGGTCCTTTCCGCAAGCTACCAGCGACAAGGTCCTTTACAAATCTTCGCACTTTCGTTCGGCCGTCCTAGCCTTTGCGACCCAGATCACCTCGCCCTCGTTGGATGATACCATCAAAGCAACGGTCATCCTGCCGTCCTAGTCCTCTCTCCCATTACCAGTTACACGTCGGGTAGCCCCACCTTCGTGACATCCTATCGGACCTCCGCAGGTCCCACAGGGGATAGACCCGACTAGACACTACAATGCCAGAGAAGATAGGCATCCCTCTCGGAACTGCTTTTTGCTGAGGATTCGTGCTGCCATGCCGATTCTTTTCTTCTCCGTACTTTATTTCTACGTACTTCTGTCTCTTTATTCTTTATTTATTTGTTTTTGTTGTTACACTGGCTTTCTACACCTACCTAGACTTGTGTTCAGTTTTAAGACAAATGAAAAGAAATGGTGTCCTTCTGTTGTTTTTGCCCACTCCGAGTTGCACTGGCAAGCTCAAAGAGGTTGCGTCCGCCACAGAACACCACACAAGGACTCACCAATCTTTTTCGTTCCACGACAGGCCCTTGTTGCGTCCTCCTGCACCACCCCCATCTCAACAGCCTTATCCTTGTGCACTTCCTCATTGTTCGGCGTCTCAACTTTGTGATCTTCCTCCTTAGGGTCACTTATCGCACTGCACTTATTGCACTGTTCTTGCACTTCTGATCCTGTATGACTGGTCTCACTGACGGGGTCCTTCTAACTACGACTTTTGACGGACTCTATGACTTGTTGGCCTCGTGTACGCCTTCGAACTGCCGTATGTCCTCTACACGATGTCTGACCTGCGCCGTACACCTGCGCCGCGGTGATCCCGAAATTTTCCTTATTGCTCACGTCCGTGCTTCCACTTTGTGCTGGTGCAAGGTCCCCATATACGACCCATAGTACGACCTCTTCGCCCTTGATCTACGAGTCGTAGATTCAGCAGGCACCCTTACTTCACGTTCTGTCCGCTTGGCAGGGGTCCAGGATCCACTATTTCCCATTTTACCTAGATTCCCTTGACTTCTCAAGCAATTCAGCTTCCATCGCTGTTGATAGAGTGGAAGGGAGTTTTAAGAAAAATAACGAATTCCATGGCGATTTCAAAGAATAGGTTCAGCCGTTGAGAAAACAATTAAGAAGCTGTAAACAATGAATGCCAATTCCAACATTTCGAAGAAAGCAAACTGAAAACCAAAACTGAAGATCACTTTACATTGGAATATACAAAAAGCATATTACATTTACTTTATGTGACCTACTCAACATTTACAAAGGCGACCAACAAGTTAAACCCTACTTACCTTGAATCACAAACGACACCGGAACTTTTCTTTACGAAAGCAGCCAGATCATCATTAGGACCTTCAAGTGCCAACTACGTTATATCCTATGGCAGCGCCCTAATATCAGGAAAAACAAATACAGCCAACAACTGAAATCATTCAGCAGTCAACAGGACAGCCATAGAGCAATATTGAAACTAATAAGGTGAACTTTGTGTCATTTATGACAGCCAGATACAGATTCTTACATTGCAGCAGGCCTTCTTTAAGACTATCTCTGTGCAATGCAAACGGTTATTAACGGCATAAGCCTGAAGTAATCCGATTATTGAACGAAAATCACATTGAAGTCAAGATGTTAGCAGAACACCGGCAAATATAAATTTATATAAATATAAATAAATACGGGGTTACAGCACCGAACAGTTAGATGGTAAAGTCTACGGCAGAACCGGTAGTCTTATTAAAAACCGCATCAAACACCAAATTCACCAAAGGCTAGCAAGAAATTATATGTAATCCACATCTATAATACTAATATCAAATAACGGCTACCTTAACATTGCATCTGCTTACTTCCCACTCCGAAGATCAATTCATGGTCTTCTACAATTCGTTTAGAGTTACAACACCAAACAAACACACTGGGGACCCTGCCCTGTGACCCCTAATGGAATGCAACTATGTATATAACGCAATCACCAAAGCATGGTGGTATCTCGGTTTTTAACATTTTTTACAGCTTAGGAATTTAGTTGATATTTCTGTGACAAAAAATATCTCGCGGACTTATTGTCAGACCATTCACCTGTGCTAATAAATCTTCTTCAAAATCCGGATATAATCGGGCTTAAGTACAAAAAGTATTTTAGTTTCCAAAATAAACAAACCCCTCAGCTCAACATGAAGTACCCGTCGCAGCAACCAAAATCTCTACATTAAAAGGGAGATATGCAGACAAACCACGTACAGACAAACGTACAGCATTTTTAAAAATGTTTGTGCATGATAGTTTTGACGTTTATTGAGCATTAAGAATGTGGACAAATATAAAAAAATAAAATATTCGCAAAATAATTGTAAACCAGTTTGATTCAGAAAACGGTATTGTTCCAATTTCGGACTATTTTGGGAAATAAAAGATAACCACACAGGTACAACTCTTACTTCTCTATAAAAATGTTTCGATGTTGCAGAAATAAAAATTAAATGGGTTACATGTGTTAAGTTATAGAACCAAGAAGCTTAATAATAGCATATCCAAATCATCAATTGAATTTTTGCCACTTAGAGCTAGAGAGCTTGGCAAAATTCATAGATACACATATTCGAAAACAGTATATTTGATAAATTATATTTTTTTCCTCCCTTTCTTTTCGGTAATAAATATTGTATTGTACTATAGCCTGCATGATTTTTAACGTTAAGAACAGTAAGAACAATAGTGCTAGAGACACCTGCTTACAGTTTTGTTTGTTTCAATGCATGCTGGTGCTTATAATACACTATTAAATCATACACTGCACAGACATTTTTGACCACAAACACTACATCTATATATTATCAAATTTTTAGTAACCGATATTTTTAATATTAATGCTGAGTAGTAAACTAAAAACAGTCAAAGGGTATACCAGATCTTGACTCGGATCAGTATCCAGTTTGTACCTCGACCACCCAATAAACAGCAAATTGTTAAGAAACGCCTTTTTAGGTATATGTTAAATACTTTTAAGATAGTATAGTTATTTCAATTTGAAAGGCGTAGCAAATAATACTAACATTATCCTTAATATCCTTAGCACACACATTAAAAGTATCAAGGTAAGAAAGCATTAAAATTGTTTAAATATACAATTAATGCTTGATTTATAATTTGTAAAACGTACTAAATCGCTAGCGGCAGCAAAAAAATCTTGGGACCTAGGCAAGATTTCATTACGGGGGCTTGTAAGGCACAGAGAAAATAGTATTTAGTGGTGCGACTACTGAATTTTCCAAATGTAAATTGTCTAGCATTGTCTCAGCATTGTCTAGTACTCGAGTATTGACGGAACCAAGAATGTCATCACATATGGTGTGAATGTTAATAAAAATTCACAATTTCAAACGTTTTTGCGTGGTTGCGATTTCACTCTATAAGACCTTTTTCTGTACATTTCGTGCAGTCAACAAAACTTTTTACACAAAAGGCGATTTCGCGGCAGAAAATTACGCTTAAAATTCCAAGTGTACATCGAAGCAGCTATAACTCTTTGACTGCTCCAACACATAAATTTCACCATTCTACAACTTCATTTGTACTACGAATTATCACAGGAATAATGAAAATTATATCAGGAATGATTTAAAAAAGTATTTATAGTGTATATTACTGTTGATACATTTTTTTAACTAGCAACATGCCACATACAATTTTGTGCGCGAAAGAACTATGCCCTTAGCAGATCAGTAGAGGAAAATAGTGATGGCGGCTAAAATCGCAGATAGCTTCTAAGCATATGATTGATGTGATCGTAAAAATTCATATTATCAAAAGCCCAGCAGAAATTTTTTTAAAAGTACAAGAAGGTTCCCCTACATTTCTACAAAGATTTTGTGTGTTCGTCCCACCAAATTTATATTAAACGTTATCATCCCCGGTTACCAGTAACAACACTTCGACGTTTCTCGTTTCGAAGATCTCGTGTTACACTTTGAGTAATTTGTCCGTTGCGGTATCCTCCTCTGCTTGGGTGATGCTTACCTCCCCAGGTACTACTTCTGCCATGCGTCATTGGTGGCGAACAGATGGGCTTGTGGATTCAGAGAAGCGGCACCGTTCCTAGGCTAGGGTGAATAGGTACTGGGCTCTCAAGACAACCGCCGTGCTAGCCGCAACCTCCTGCCCTTTTCTCAGTCCTGGCACGTCCCGCCCTCAATCTCTCCTCCTCCAAACCGTCTTTCTCAAAACTCCCCAAACTTCTCGCACTGCCGTTACTACGTGCTAATTTATTGCGTAACTGGCAACATGCAGACCTTTCTTCTGCAGTAGACATCTGCATTTGTGCGGAGGCTTAACTCCTCCCAGGAAATTTCTTCCTTTGCGAGTGTCGTCGCTTCAAAACCGACTTTGCTTATATCTTCAACATTCCAGCAAGACGTTCAAATTTAAACAGAATACTAAAACATACACGAGCAAGCGCAGCTCTACAAGCGGGACTCTGTACAGCAGCCTCGAAAGCAGCCTCATTTAAATAAGCATTAATATAATTCAATGAAACATCAATGGTATTTTAAATAATAATAATGAATTGTCCTTACTTCCTAAAAACATCATTAGATCTTTTTTCAAAATACGTAAACTATATAAGGTATCGCGACATTTTTCATACACCTTTCATATTCAACCCTCGTCGTAAATTCTTAAAAGGATCTAGTATTAGCACATCCACTCACTTTTCTACACCTCACCTTCACACCCGTATATATCTCACTAGGGTCGCCACAGCTTGTACACAAAAGCAACTGGTCTATGTCTACACAACTAGCCATAAAGGTCAACACCGATGAGTTCTTAATATACCAAACTGACTTAGCCAATTGCTAAATGAAAAATGGCTGCCTCAACCGGTCACGTTAAAATCATAAAACAAAGAGATTCAAACTACTTTAATTTGGATATGGAAACAGTAATCCAAATGGATCTACCGACCCAAGATCGTGCATAATTATTCGATTCATCTGGAGATGGACCCAAGTCGCGGAATAAGCGAGAAATCAACACCAATCCTTAAATCTTAACCAGTCAAATGACACCTAGCTCACATGTTTCTTAAGCATAAAAGAACATCTAGGGGTCACGAAATTAATATACACAGACATAAACAAAGTATCCCACACAACTAGAATCGTTGTGGTGGATTCCAATAACTTAATCATCTCTGGAGGAGATTACAACATTACAACACCATATTCAAACTCCCATTACTTAAAAAAGAAAAAAATCTCTTAAAATTACTAATTACTAATGAAAACATGAAAAGTACAATAATAACTATAACACTAAATCAGCATAATTATGGAAAACAAAGTCAAGCCCCCAATTTAAGCTCTTCAGACATCATGCCACTAACAATGTTACAATGGAATTTAAACGGTTATTCTAACAACTACGATTAACTCTTTATCCTTATCTCTTTATCCACCTGAAAACTAAATTAATTTCCCTTCTGGAAACCCATATAAATCATACTCAAAAGATCCCTTAAAAAGTTAAGTCTTAGCAGTAGGCAGTGTCGCCATCAAGTACACAAATCTTGCAACTTAAGAAAATCCCCACTGGAAACATTTTCGAAACGATTCCCCTTTATGTCTAATCAAGGAAAAAGTTCAAAATAATCGGAGGATACTTTCCACCAAGCCAACAAGGAGACCTCGAAATAATGCTTCCACCAACAAAGTCATAGGTGTTTTTAATAGCTGGAATACGGTGATCTCCCAA